TCCTCCTCCTCCTCCTCCTCCTCCTCCTCCTCCTCCTCCTCCTCCTCCTCCTCCTCCTCCTCCTCCTCCTCCTCCTCCTCCTCCTCCTCCTCCTCCTCCTCCTCCTCCTCCTCCTCCTCCTCCTCGTCCTCTTCCTCTCTGAAGAGAGACAAAATCACATCAGAATCATGCACCATATGTGGCGGCTTAAGTTGAGATAGATGTCACACATCAACAAAGTGATGACATGAAGTGATTTTACGAGGAACTGTTTATCATATTTTGCCTTGCACGTACAGTGTAGCTATGAAATATAATTGAAATAGAAGAAACATCCCTGCAGCTACAATCATAAAACAGATTGTTAAATTATTCCCATTTTTCAAATTCTGAAGAAAACTGAGGCTTCTTATCTTCTCCCTTCATTGGTTTTGGAAGATGCAACAAGATACTATGTAACACAATTAAAATGGACATGTACCTGTATTTTGTCTCTAGGAAATGATAACGGAGGCCAACAGTATGTTTCCCTCTTACACAATGTCAGCCAGAGCCATCCAGAATTAAAAGGTGATTTTTGCCTAGCAAGTGATACCATTTGTTTTTTTTTAATCCTCCCGACACTGGATTTGTAAACGATTCATCTGCAGAGCTCCTGAGGAAAGTGTGCAACCCTGGCCAAGAGAGAGACAAGAAGTTCACCTCTGCGCGGAGAAGACACACGCACAGGAAGGGTCCTGCTAGCCAGAGCTGGAACAAAAATGCCTGTCAACAATGAGCACCACCAACATTCATTCAGCATCTGTCCGTCCTTCCATTCATTTCTAAGCGCTTGTCCTACTCAGCGGTCATGCATGAGTTAGGGCCGAGCATAACCGACAAGAGGGCAGGTACATACTGTCTGATCGCCATTCAAGCGCAAAGCACATCAAAACAAGCATTCACAGTAACATTCACACCCGTGCTCTTGTTGCATCGCCCTGCTTTGTCCGGCTATCGATTGTTCAAGGGGGAAAAACAAAAAAACAAAAAAACTAACAAGTATGCTGTGGGTTTGCGCAAAATATGCCAAAACCCGTGACTTCACGTCTATGCTGTAGCTTTAATTCAAGACCGAGTAAATATAAGAAATATGTACGACACTCTACTGCAGGGGTGTCAAACACACGGCCCGCGGGACGGAACCGGCACCCAAGGAGGTTCGATCAGGCCCGCAGGATAATTTAAAAGTGAAAAAATGCATTCAAGACACGGAATGAATAGTTTTCATAAAATGCACTTCATGGATAATCCACTAGGGGGCACACTGTTTTGATCAGAGTAGAAGACAACATTGTTTTGATCAGAGAAGAAAACAGTAGTCTCAGTCTTATTACTGAGACAGACCCAACACATCAGACAGTATCAATGAGCCAATGCCTCTTTATACCAAAACAAAGGAAAGACATGATATTTTGGTTATTTATAGCAGCGTATGGTATAATGTTAATGGTCCGGCCCACTTGACATCTACCGAGTCCGTATGTGAAATGAGTTTGACAGCCCTGCTCTACTGGTACAATAATAAATAACATGAGGGAGGTTGAAGTAGTTCAGCTTTAACCACAGTATTTGAGTTGCACACTAATCTGTGGCTCCTTTTCCATCATCCATTTTCGACTCCACTTCCCTTCGTTAGACTCAATGGCTGAGCTAGCGAGAGTCTATCCCCGGTTGACTTTGGGCCACAAGCTGGGTAACATCGTTGGCTGGTCACCAGCTAATTGCAGGGCCTATATGACACATCGAGTTTGGCTGGTCCTACAACTCCAATCTTCACAAATGGCGTTGACGGCAACGAACGAGCTCTGGTTGGATTAGAAACTTCCGCCCATAACTGTGGAAAAGTTTTTCTTTTTCATATAAAAAGGCTTAGTTTAATTACAATTCCATGTCGCATTGTGACCAAAGGTAGAAATCTGGTTCGTTATCACACTTTTAGTACTGTAAATAGTAAATCCTTATTGAGGATGCTGTCTGCTAAACTAGCGATACGGCACACATCAGTTCCGATGATTTCTTCTTGTCTTTCTTCATCTTGTCCTTCCTTTTTTTTTTTTGACACTTCTATTTCATTTTGGCAATTAACAAATACTTTTGGTGCATTACTGCCACCTTCTTTAGCAAGAATGCAGTGAATGCAGTCCACACTGTCACCACTTAATCCATTCTCATCCTGTTCCTTTCAAAATGGCCACTTTTGGGAAGCCCAACACAACCAGTCACTAAGGTTGCCACCTTTCAGATCTGGAAATAGGGGACACTCCCCCGGCGTCGCAGAAAAACCACGCAGGCAAACGAAATGGGAGGGTTGAAATGCATTGAATCCCAGGAATTTTTTTATATGAACAAACTAAATGCTTTGATTGACATTATTTAACATGTCATATTAGCCTCTGGTCCCTATGAGTCACTTCATCAAGAGTGAGAGTCAGGAAGGAGAAGTCAAGAAAGCCTTTAGACGTACTTAAAGTTTCAAGTGCTCTATTAGCAATGAACACGGTTATTTTTTTTTTGCCTGAAGGCTGAAGTAGCGCGAACCATGGCCTAGCCTATAGGCTATTAAAAAGTGCAGTAAATTAAACAAAGATTTGTACTTTAACACTTTTAATAATTATGTAACGCTGGATAGCCCCAACTTGAGCATATCGACCTGGCCTACTGCATTGTATACATATAAATTAAACAAAGCCTCTCTGGGGAGACTTTTACCGAAAGAGGACAATACTTCAATTAAATAGCCTATAAAAATGATGTAAATGTAACAACTGGGGACACCTTTCCTGTCAGAGGAAGAAAAAAATGAAACACTTGTAAACTTGTGTGTATGCATGGTCAAGGCTGAAGAGACTGAACTCGGCTGAACTTGAGCATACTGTATTACATGCTTACACTGTCAAGTGCTGTGACAGCTATACCAAAGCCTATCTGGGGACACTTTTATTATTATAACGATAACTATAATAAAATTAAACATTTGTGTGAACCCAAATGAAAAGATGAAAAAAAAATGGGGAAAAGTGCATAACAATCCTCTTCCTCAATCCCTTCATGTGCTCTTTGATGCCAGATCAGGGCTAAAGACTGAACAGGTTTTTGGTCATTGTTGTTGAATTCACTGTTCATGTTTGTGATCAATTCATACGAAATTCATACGATTGGACCTGTTACTAATGAGAACAACACAAAAGACAGGGTTTTTTAATTGAGATTTTTTTTCAAATGCTCCATTGCTGGCCATTAAGACAATCATGAGTAAGTAGCCAAAAACAATCACCTTTCTATATTTTCCAAGTTTAGAGCAATCTGTGCCAAATTATGAATCTCCTAACTACAGGAAAAAAGCACAAGAGAAAAAAAGTCAAGTTCTGTGCTCGGACGATTAATGAAGCATGTGCAATTGCATGAGGAGCATGTGTGAGTCCTACACTGAGACAGCTTTCCATTTGTTCGAAAAATACATGCCTTTGTGTGTATAAAATATATTCAATGTTAAGTATAACCCGATAATCTTTTGTTTTCAGTGCAAGGATAAGAAAGTAGACAGTGTTCCTCTCTGTCTGTGTGATTGTATTATCCCGTCGCTGTGAGACAAAGCAAGATGTCTAGATCAGTGGTTCTTAACCTTGTTCGAGGTACCGAACCCAACCAGTTCACATGCACATTCACTGAACCCTTCATGAGTGTAAAATAAAAAAAAAAGTATCTTTTTTTTTTTTTTTTTTTTTACAAATTCAAGACATTAAAAAACATTAAAACCAGAAAAAAAGCAAATAAAATTTCAAGACCGAAGTCGATTTTTTAAATTTAATTATATGGTAGAGGCTCTGTCAAACCCCTGAGACCGATTCACCGAACCCCTAGGGTTCGATCGAACCCAGGTTAAGAACCACTGGTCTTGATGAAAGGACTGTTCGTTTATATGAGATGACCTTGCCGAAGGAGAACTCGGCAGTTACTTCTCGCAGCCGTCTGGTGTATTTGAAGTCTCCTCAGATACAAGTTTTTATTAAATTGTAACATTCTCAAAAGTGCTTTTCTTGTCTTTTGTGTAGGAATGGGTTAACATTTTTCTCCCCTTGACAGCATCCGGGTAAAATGATCCGTTACACAAAGAAGATGAGTCATTTTGCGACTCAGGCATTAAAAGCAGGATATTCGATTCAGTTTGTTTCTGTTTGGTCTTCTTAATGTTTGCAATTTTTGTCCAAACACTCTGTGTGAGTTCAAGTATTTTAATTGCAGAACTTTCAGAAATAATATCAAAATAGTGAATAGTTGTTGTTCATGTTGAAATTTTCTGATTTATTTCAATCATCTGATCGTGACTGCACATGAAAAAAGATCTTTTTTTTCAGTTAATAAGCAACTTTAGCAAACAACACTGAGAGGAGGCGCGTTGGTGTGACGCAGCACTGACAATGATACATAAACACGAACAAGAGTTTTGGCTGTGCTGAATCCAGAAAAACCCAGAGGATCTGCAAAAATGTCTGCAGGCCAATTGGAATCGCTCGAGAGAACGTTGGAAACTTACATTCCCAAATCTGAGCTGAAAGAGGTCAAACGCCTCTTATTTGGCAAGGAGACCGCGTGAGTTGAAATAGATTGTTGCTCTCGTTTGCTTCGTTCACATTCTTTTGCCTCGTCTGTTTATTGTCAGTTATTTAAGCGGAGGAGCGAAGTGGACTTTGATCAGTTTGTTCTGCGGTGTGATCTTTACCCTTTTGCACTCGACTAAACTGACAAACATGAAAGGTCAGAGTGTATTTGTATAGGGAAGCTGAGATGTAAGCAATGCGACCGACGTATATTTCAGTCAGGGTTAAAAAGCAAAGTTGTCTTTAATCCGTCGAAGAAATGCTCTGCGGTACACTATGAAGGAAGCATTAATATTGAAACGCGCATACATTCTGAACTCATATCAATACAAGCCCGGCAATTTTGCAGTTTGTGCTATTGATGACGAACTGCAGTATGTGACACCAGAATAGTGAATTTCCAACGGGGAATGTCATCTATAGCATCCTGGACCTTCCAGCGGGTGCCCTGGAGGCTGCACGGCAAGGTGACTTTGAGCTGAAAGGCTTCAGCTTTGAGGCAGCTGAAGAACAGCTGAGGCTGCCCAGAAGGATTCGAGTGGGACTTATTCAGCACCACATTGTTCTGCCCACGGAAGCGCCTGTCCTGGAACAGGTCAGCGAGCAGATGGGAAGAACTAGAACACACATTTCAATGAATTAACACAACACTGGTCCTTGCCAACAGATCAATGCTATGCACAACCGGGTTGGTCAAATAGTGGAAGCTGCGGCCATGTGTGGCGTGAACATTATCTGCTTTCAGGAAACGTGGAGTAAGTGGAAACCATGATTGTTGTGCAAAGAGTTTGAAAGATGAACAAACGTTTCTGACTTGCTGAATGCAGCCATGCCGTTTGCTTTCTGCACCCGTGAGAAAGAGCCATGGACGGAATTTGCAGAATCTGCTGAGAATGGAAACACAACTCGCTTCTGCCAGGAGGTGATCCAACAGCTGTCATACACATAGGGACAAAAGTATTGAGACTTCTGATTTGATTCACGAATCAGTCAGAAAGTGATGCCACTAGACCTGTATGGTCCCCCCGAATCATAATTCTACCCTCCAATCAAACTTGAACAGTGACTGTGAGCCAGATGCTCTATCAACAAAAACTCCCGCAGATTCACGCACCCCAATGATCTGTTCTATTACTTTTTCCAAATAACATAAGAGAAAGATGTGCTTTGGTTTTGTTGATGGGCAAAAATGCTGGAGGCTGTGTAGGATCACACATGTGCTAATCATATATATTGCAAAAAAATCTCCTTTTAAATAAGCACAAAATATGACCGTACTTGTTTTTCATTGAACCAATGTACAGATGCACAACAGTACTGTATCAAAATACACGTAGTTCACTCTGCTTTGTTAAAGTAGACCTCTGCCATCCTAAAAACAGCTGCTTGTCCAAGTCACCAGTCACCTTACCAATGATGTTAAATGGTATTATGACAGAATGCGACTTTATTAGAGCTGTGCGATACCTGAGGTTACAGCTGCTGCTGTTGTGAAAGCGCTATATAAATCTGGATGTATTGTATACGAAGTAAATACTGGTGTCAGTATCGCTGATATCGATATCAACAAGTAGTTTTTGGTTAACAGATTATGGTATTTTATCTCATTAGTCCGATTAAATAACATGTTATGCGAATTAAACTTTCTTTTTGGATTCTACATCATGCTGTAATATAATATCCTCAATGGAAATATACCTGGACTCTTGTTTAAAGTCGCACATGTAGTAGTAGTAGTAATCTTCATATTCGTGGTCCCGGTTTCTCTTCCAGACCAAAAGAAACGTCGGCCACTGAATTTCGTTATGGTGGCACTGATGAATTTAACCACTGTCTTGGTCTCCTTTTCGTTGGCCTCACTGCGGGTCAGAGAGCTTGCAAGAGGAAAACGTGCGCACTCTGCTGGCAGAGAGTGTACTTGCAATCTACAATAATACCTCGTGGGTAGTTGGAAAAGCTCAAGCAAAGCATATGATGCTTTATGTAAAATGTAATATTCACTGTAAAAATAATGATTTGAAAATAACTATTGTGAAGAATATATAAAAACAAGCAATATCCTTTTCAAAAACTTAATCATCTAATCTTTTTAAAATTAGATTATCATCTTATTTAATAATGTATTTATTTTTTAAATCATACAAGAAAAGTGCATTGAACAGCAACGGTGCAACTTCATATTCTCAATACCACCTGCATTTAAGAAAGTATAACTAATTCTTTTGAAGGTGCATACAAAAAATACAAATAGGATTCAGTTTGAACTTCTAACAACCTGGAATAAAATGCGACAAACCCACATTAAACTGAACCACGCTTCTTATTGAAGCTTCTTCCGGCTCAGGTCAGAGTTTCAAAATGCAAAATAACTGGGTTTATTTCCGCCATCCTTCTTTCTCTCACGCTTGCTGCTCCTGTCCTCCTGTGTTGCTGTCACCATCGCTGTCATTGGCGGCAAGTGTGTCTCATTCACTTGAGCATGTGCTTAAAAGGCAACACGCGAGAAACCCATGTGAAACCAAAACTAAAAGGATCGATGCTAGTGGTTTAGTTTCGATATGATACCGATGCTCACTTTAGTATCGATTCGATTGACACTTGGATCCATCTGCACAACCCAAGATATTGGTAACGCTTCATGCATTTTAAATGAACTGTCAACAGTTCTTGTGAAGACTAGCGCAACATGCTGTGTTTGTGCCTTAATTTGAAATGTTTCATGACCGATATAATCTCCAAACAAACTAGAAACATAGACTTTCCTTTAAATTAGATCAACATGTTATGTGCTTCCTATTTTACCTGAAAGACATGATTTCCTGCTTTTTACTCTCACGTCCATCACGTGCACACTTTTTCTCTGATGGGGAAATGCCAAGTGGAAACACGATTAAGCGATGTCTGCCATCTAATGGTGAACTGTGTTACTACAACTCAAAACATCTCATGGTAACATTTGCCCGATCCCTGCAAAGTGCACAAGCATAACAAATGATATTGTGATATTCTCCCACCAGTTGGCGCAAAAATACAACATGGTTATCGTGTCTCCAATTTTGGAGCGGGACGAGATGCACAACACTCTGTGGAACACAGCGGTGGTGATATCCAACTCTGGAAAAGTACTGGGGAAGAGCAGGAAGAACCATATCCCCAGAATTGGAGACTTTAACGAGGTCAGCATGTCTGTTCTTTTAGACTCCTTGACTCCTTCTAGATTTTGGTTTTTTTCTTTGCTCTCAGTCGACATATTATATGGAAGGTGACACTGGCCACACCGTGTTCCAAACACAATATGGGAAGATAGCTATCAATATCTGCTACGGGCGCCACCATCCCCTGAACTGGTTCATGTACAGTATGAATGGTGCTGAGATCATCTTTAACCCTTCTGCTACTGTTGGTGCTCTAAGGTAAGTGCTGGTGGACAGCTTGACTTAAGGAGAGGGTGTTTGTGTTTCTAAAATGAACAATATAGATTTATATTATGTGATTAATATATCAAAATAATTCAGCAAATATTTTAATCATCTTTTCAAATACTTTCACGCAAGGGTGTTGCACTCAGAGATTGTGGGTGGGTGAATTGGTGAATGGATGCATGCATAAATTGGCTGCTGATACTACTCTGTATATGTCATCACTGTCTTCTAATATTACATAATATTCATTGTCTAGTGAGCCCATGTGGCCGATTGAGGCCAGGAATGCAGCCATAGCAAACCACTGCTTTACCTGCGCAATCAATCGAGTTGGGACGGTAAGTCAGAGTCACCTGTGAACTTTTGACTTTTGTATTGAATGATTTATTTCATAATTTTTTTTGTAATTACGACGTGATCAATAACAAACCTTTTGGTTCACGCAGGAGCATTTCAAAAGTGAATTTACATCTGGTGATGGACAAAAAGGTAGGATTTTAACGGAATGTCAATGCATTTCCTGTTGAGATTACGTTCTCAAAATTAAAAAAAAAACAGCGTCGCACATTCAATCTGACATATGAAAACGTTTTGGCACAGCCTTCATCAGATCATATTTTTTTTCTATTTGCCTAAGCAACAGCGTGTGTGAGTCGTCAAGTGAATCAACCTCGGTCAGGTGTAGGGAACTCTGTTTCCTCGAGAACCATATCCAGCCTGTTTTAGAGCTCTCCCTACTCCACTACAACTGATTCACTTAATCATAAACGTTTCAGACTCCAACAAGGCTTTTTGAGGAGCTGATCGTTTCAATCAAGTGCATTGGCGTAGGGAGGGATCTAAAACAGGAAGTATATGGCTCTTCAGCAACTGGAGTTCCCCACCCCTGTGGCCTCGGTGATTCTAATAACCACCAAAAAAGTGGGAGGTACCAATCAAGCTGGAGGCCACACCCAGTGCAGCATCTACAAGATACAAAATATATTAAAATATGTCAAACTAGTATGTGTGGAGAGAGAGAGAGAGAGAGAGAGAGAGAGAGAGAGAGAGAGAGAGCAGCACATCGGCCTCACAGTGCAGAGGTGCAGGGTTCGATTTCCGCCTTCCTGTGTGGTGTTGCATGTTCTCGCCGTGCCTGTGTGGTTTTTCTCCGGTTACTACGGTTGCCTCCCACATTCCAAAAACCTGCATGGCAGGCGAATGGAACACTCTAAATTGTCCCAAGGTGTGAGTGTGAGCGCGAATGGTTGTTTGTCTACGTGTGCCCTGAGAATGACTGGCAACCAGTTCAGGGTGTATCCCGCCTACTGCCTGAAGACAGCTGGGATAGGCTATGGCACGGCCGTGACCCTTGTGAGGGTAAGTGGATCAGAAAATGGATGGATGGGTGTGCTTAATTTTGTGGTCAATGGGCGCGTAAATGAGTATGTATAATATGAAGCTACAACTCGAATGTTTGTGAGTAATAAAGAGTCTGAATTAGGACTAAAGGAGACACAGAGGCGGTGCCAAACAGAGCGTTGACTATTATGCACATGAGGTAATTGTTAACCCTTTGTCACGTTGCGAGGTGGTGGTGGACCCCAAAAAGCAGGCAGGAGGGAGGAGCAGGGTGTACTTGAAAAAGTGTATTGAAACAGAGAAAACTAAATCCAAAACAAACATAGTCCAAAGTAGCAAACAAAAATCACAACTGAAGCTAGAACAGAACTGTGACCAAAACAAACCTGGCAGCAGCAGACAGACAGACAAACGGCAACAAACAAACATGACAGTAGCAAAGAGCAACAACGACCCGACAATGAGTGGTCGGGCTGGGAGTCCTTTTAAAGCACTAATTACCTAATGACCAACAGGTGTGCAGCTGCAGGGGAAGCCCTACAGTGCCACCTGTTGGTCCCAAACCGAATCATGACACCATTTCAGGGACAGTCGTGATTGATCCAGGTTTTAATGGGTATGTTGGTGAAGAAGACAGAGGTGATGACTAAGTTTGGTATCCAGGAAAAAAACTTAAGAGGGACAGATGGCTGTGGCTAAGGTGAGAAGGGAAGATGTGTGGGTTTTGGTGAAGAGGTGAGGCACGACCTTGATAGACAGGAGAAGCTTACAGAAGACTGGAGCAATCTCGGAACCATCTCGGAAAGGTGGCTGTGGACTTTTTGATCAAGGTGTTCAACAGAATTCTAGAGAGTGAGAAGATAGCAGCGCAATGGAGGAAGAACAAAGGCGATGTATCGAGTTCTGGGAGCAATAGAGGAAAGCGTAGTGGAGGACTGAAGTGAGTATTTGTGAGCAACGTTATGGTTTTATGCCTCAGATGAGGTCCACGGTTGCATTATTTGCCGTGAGAGTTTTGACGGAGAAGTACAGTGAAGGTCAGAAGATAGACGTTGATGGAAATGAATGATGCAGTGGCGACAGCGAACGGAACAAGCCAAAAGGAAAAGAAGATGAAGACAAATGCGTTGTTTCGGCACATTGGCATGGCAGATGTCTAATGACGAATGAAAAGCATTCTGATTTTGACTTCCAAGTATCGTGGTAGCAAATTGTATGCCTTTGTTGTGACGTACACTGTCATGTCAAAATAAATAGGTTGCAATCATAGCATCTATCGCTTTTGGGGGTGTCTGCAGCTCATCATGACTTTGGACACTTCTATGGATCCAGTTATGTGGCTGCTCCCGATGGAAGCCGCACACCGGGGCTTTCGAGAACTCGCGATGGACTACTGGTAGTAGAACTAGACCTCAACCTGAACCGCCAAATCAGTGACAGATGGAGTTTTAAGGTAAACTGCAAGTGGACTGCTTCATACATAGCTTCTTATTGTGGAGACATTTCTCTTTTTGTTTCACAATACAAGGTGGAATAAGTTTATTGAAATATGGGAATACGTTTATTGTAAATCAGGTCAAAATCTAGTTCCACTGTGGACCTATCCTGTGGAATGACATTTTTTTGACCTTTGATTCTTTTTTTTTTTCTGTAGATGACTGGGCGTTACCCCGAGTATGCTGAGGCTCTTACCAAGGCGGTCAGACATGACTTCCAGCCGCAAATAGTGAAGGAATAAATCAAAGCAAAAAATGATCCCTCACAGAAGAAGTTCTCAACTGGTTTCAACAACAACATTGCTCCATGGATATTGAAGCGCATATTCTCCAGTGTGCTAAAGTCAGAAAACTTTTTGGGCTGCGCGGATTTTCCCATCAACTTATGTTGAGGTCAGACGACATGAATGTAGTCCGATTTTGAGCCGACAAGATATATCGCAGCAAAACTGAAGCGTCTCATAGCCCATTTTCAGTTGTCTTGACACATCGTGGCCCGTATAGTGTGACATACTCAATGAATGGTCGTCTGGGATGTTTCGCGACCATCACGACGAAAGTCGGTCACGTCAGAATTTTTGTATGTCTTGCTACATAGCGGGACATGTCCTACATCTTCCTTTGATTCTTTGATTTGTTCTTCGGCATTGACCAATAGGAAGAAAGTGCCCTCCTACTTATAACGAGTGACCAAAAAAAGTGTTTAAAATTTGACTTGAACGAAAGAGGAAATATTGGAAAGTATACATACTCTAGCATTTCAACTCATGCTACATTTGCTAAGTGAAAAGCTTGTCGCATATTTGCAAACGTGGTGTCATTACACAAATTCATTTCCTCAATTTTTTTTACTGCCCGCCTCCACACCATCCAGGAACGGCTTCATGGTCTCTTAGATTTTCCAACACAAATGTGACTCACATTTATACAGTTGAGAATTACAATGTCTTTTCACAAAGAGTAAGTAATCCAAATACACAGGAAGGCTTGTACAGTGTAACCGTGAATGGCTTCTTAAATCAGTGGTCACAAAAATAGCACGTTTCTGATTAAATGTTTACTTGAAACAACAGAATTGTGTGTGATACGTGTAGTGCAATGACTTTTCAAACAAAATGGCAAACTGTTCAGTGTCATCAACAATGAACACGACACTCAGTGTGACACTTGGTTCGCTCGTGATCAAAACGTGCTCCGTCTGTTCGGTTGCCATGAAAACAGAAACCTTGTACTGCATGAAGCTTATCTGAAAAGAAAACGCGAACAGCATAGGTGAGTTCATGATCTTCAAGCATGTTCTTTCGGCAGCTTCTGCTTTGGAATATTTCATGGAATCCAATTTCCCTTTAGGCGGAATAAAATCTGAGATTGGTTCATAATACACACTCAAAGGAAACCTAATTGGGTGCACCTGAATTTTCCCATACAAGCTAATTCATCTATCTATGCATTCTTGACATTTTACATAAGCGCAATGGCAAATACTCCCGTTACATTGCTAATCGTAAATTCATGCTCAGTTTGATTTTATCATAAAGTGTTGAACATTTTTACCCTTTCATGGAAACAAAATATTGGAATTACCATTTTTATGATACTGTTTTACACCTGCACTGCAACTACAATATTTAACAATAAACATATTGTTAAATTAATACACCTTTGACAGCATCCATCGGCTTATCGTTGTAAGGCAGATTTTCATTACCTGAGAATTTCAAAGACCAACTCGTTTCCCTGTTCCAATTATCGTGAGCAAAATGTGACACAAAGCTGAGTTAGCAGGACTTAAAATAGTAGTGTTGACATGAAAAACACACATCTATGAATTAAAGTAACCATGACATCCTAAAACCTGAATAACGTGTTCACCACTTCCCATAAACCCCGAAGCAAGGTCAGTATGACAATTCATCTGTTGTCTTGGAATACTCCTGTCAAGTTCATGAAAAGCTAGACAGTCAAAAATCCTTACAGTATATTCATAGTAAAAGGATCTGCTCATCTCAAAAAAAACCAAAACAAAACAAAAAAAAGCACGATTAAAAAAATAAATAAACCAGCATCACCTATTGAATTCATTCCTTATACAGGCTGAGTGGTGTTGGTTGTAAAAGAGGAAATACGGTCGTTGAAGTCTTTTTCACGTTGAACGGCTGGACTCATTCGCGCCACTGACGGGTGGTGGCGAGACGGAGGTAAAGCAGGAAATGCACTTGCTCACAAAGTTCACCGTGTGCATGAGGTGGCGTGAAATCCATATCAGCTGGCTTTAAAGATAAAGAGGATGTCCTCATCTGTCCCGTAGCTCCGACGAGCCTCCTCAAAGTTATTGACAGTGGTGCAGCAGACGCCTATATTCGCACACACACCCACACAAAATGTCAGCTTTACACCACGGCTGCTCTAAATCAACACAGCAAATGGTTTTAATTGGTTGTCACCAATATCATGTTTATTTTTTTTAAAACGTTTCTAGACATGTAGACACGCTTAAATTGAAACATTTGGATGTTAGAATAGAATTTGTGTTCCTGTCCATGAAATCAGACGGTATTTATTACTCACGGTCAGAATATGCAGGGTTGTTGTACAAAATGCAGCCGGTAGTCCTGTTGAAGCCGCGCAGCACGACAAAATGCCCCTGATACTCTGGCTTCCTGCAGAAACACTTTTGGCCCACAGGGAGGAAGCAGCAGTATTTGACGGACGCAGAGCAAAGTTCACACGTGAGGATGACAGCATTGATGAGCACGATGGCAACATGGTTCTCTTCGAGATGAGACTCGATTTCCTGAATGGTCACAGAGCTGCGGGAAGAAGAGTACAAAACGACTCGGTGATTTGTGGGATAAGCTACAAGGCGACATCATCCATCTGTTTTCTAAAACGCTTGTTGTGATTAGGTTTGGTGGTGAGCTGGAGCCTAGCCTCGCTGGCTTTGGGCGTGAGGAGGAGTAATACCTGCAACTGGTTGCCAGTCAATTACAGGGCACAAAGAGACAAGCAACTATTTACACGCACATTCACATCTGCAACAATGCAATATGCAAGCCGGAGTACTGTGAGAAAAAAAAAAAAAACAACTTCAAGCAAGGTGAGAACAACATGCAATCGCCAAAACTAACACTACCCCTGTGCACTGCTTGGCCAAAACATCGATTCGTATTTGTATGTAGAAATAAAGTACGTACCATTTTTTCACAACCACACCTTTGCTCTCTGCTTTAAGGAAAAGTTCATTCACTCGATCTTCCTCGGTATCAAAATGTTTCCTATAAAAGGACTGCAATGCAGAGCACAAACAATACAAAGCCAGATGGAAGTCAGAATTTTGATTGAATTGGATCGAATCATTGTCTGAAGAAAGATACCTGATTCCTAAAGCCCTTATCAACTCCCAGCGTCTGTGTGCAAAAGCAATGCTTGATTCCTAGATGGCACATGAGGTAGGCCAGGTCAATCGTCCACACGCTCTCAGTCATTTTCAGTTCCCAGCATGCTTTCTGAAACTGCTCATCACTGATGGGGTGCAAGTACCTGCCAGGCCAGAAATACACGAGCTCAATTGGAATCAACTGTCGTATCCAATGGGTTTTTTTGGGGGGGGTCCTACTGTAATGCAAGGTATAATATTCCCGTCCTTCTGAATTGGAATTATTAATGGTGGTAATGCTCTACCTATTCCAATCGCATATAAATCGACTTTGTGCTTCAGGATGCTGCATTTTATCCATTCTGTCCACTACAAAAAAGCCACCTAGTCCTATTTTAAATGAATCATAAACCCCATGAAATCAGTCGACACATTGAGTATGTGCTGTATCTTTCCTCTATAAACTATAACCTGGATTTTAGTAATATGTGGAGTTGTTTATCTTTTAGGAGCAAAAGTTCAACAGAGGCATGTTGTAGAAGTGCATAACACGAAGGTTTTAGTAGGTAATGTATTACATTTTCATATTTGGCTATAAAACAATAATAGCTATAAAACATTGAGTAGAAAGTATGCAAAATGAATGTGATCATTTGTAAACTGTTGTTTTGAAATTGTAATAATAATCATGCAAAAGTAATGTAACACATTCCATTTCAGTGACAGTAATATTGTACTGTAATTTAATGTCATTTAATTTACTTTCAAAAGCCAGGAATTAATAATACATATTACATTTTTAAAAGTAAATTGTCAGTATGTGTAATCAGCTCTTATTTTATTTTATGAATCTATTCTGCAAATATAACCTTGCTGCATATCTTTGTGTTGCACACCACCAAGATCTGATATGTCTAATTTAATCAGTAGTTACAATTTCCAGGCCCAAGTGAAAGATTCGTTTAGATGACGATAAACCTTCGACTTCGTTTCCACTTTTGCGGGAAATTATATGCGCAATGATGCCATCTAATGCTTACTTGAGTACCATCCTGGAGCAAGCTAAACCACAGTCCCAGTGATAGAGCTGCTGAATGACAGGTACATCCAGTAGGACGATATCATCTGGGAAAAACATAAGGGGCACAATTCTTGAATTCATTGGTAAAATGGGAGTACAGTAGTTGTCGTTGGACAAATACGTTGGGTTGTTGACATCAGCTGATGTCACTCACCTGTCATTCTGCTGTCGTCTTTCTTGAAGGAAAATACGCCGACAGCTTTCCCAAATCAAAATGTGTTGTTTACACCTCTAGCGTTTCAATAGTTGCATTTCTCATTCTCGATTTTTCGTCGAAAAAAAGAATTCAGTTTACAGTTAGCTGCCAGGCTAGCAGTATAAAATGTGGTCGCGAGATTACCGTGTATTCAGTCACCAAGGCTCATTTACAGAGTCACGCTAACATTAAACACGAAAACACATATATGTGACTAACGTTTATAAAACAAAACAAAATAGGAACGACGGGTTCTGAAATTCAGATGTTTTCTTCGACTCGCCGTAGCTCTTCTTCTTCTACGGTCAATTTGTGGGGGTTTAAAACGACAATTTAGCACATACGGTCATCTAGCGAATATTAATCAAGAGAATATTTATTTTTATTGTGCTTCATCTAGTTGGGAAAACTACTTGATGGATTTTTTCCCCCATATATGCGGCGATGTTTTGGGGTAAAATTAATTCTTAAACTCATACCGCCCAGTCAAGGTTCACCACATATTTAGGGGATGTCTTCAGTCAGGAAGACGGCTGACTTTCCTTATACTTCATGTTCAGCTACTATACAAGTCAGTGAATAAATTTAGTTATGCCAGTCTGTATTAAACTTCTATAGGTTATCTTAGGTTGTGCGTCCGTAGGTTTAGTTGTATGAAAAAACATCTGAACTGTCGCAAAAGTATGAATTATTATCTTGTCTTGATTTACAGTACTCACAAATGTACTCACTCTTGCAGTCAAATTGTGGCCTGTTTATGAACGGCAACAGATGAATACACGGGTTTACTTTCTGCTTTCTAAAGGAAGAGCACATAATGTTATGCACTGACATAGATAGGTTAACAAATATATAGTTCTAATACAAATTCCTGGAAAAATAAAGTGAAATTGGATATATTCCAGTGGAACCTCTGCTAATCTCTCACACCACACCAGTGTTCCGCTGTACCTTGGTTGGGAAACACTGGTCGAGTAAACCATGCCTTATTTACAGGGGATGTACAACTGACATAAGCATAAAACCATTTTAAATCAATTAATTCTTCTAAAGGAAACAACTGCAATATTTATTGTCATTATATTCAACAACAATTACAATTTACATGAACACTTAGTAGAAGGAATGACATACTGTACTGTACCTGCAGTCATAACTGTTATACAGTAATGTTTTTTTTTGGGGGGGGGGGACTCTTTTTACAAGAAAAGAGAAACAATTGTTTGGCATGTTATTTTTCTTCACATTTAAAAAAGTGCTGCCTGGTATTTAATGTTTCAACATACTTGTACACATAAAATGCTACATACGTATGTATATACAGTATGTGTGTGTGTATATATGTATATACCTGTATATCACTGATATGTTTAAGGTTTTGTTTCAGTACTGCGAGTTCAAGTGCAAATAAATGCATCTACAATATGATAAATTGATAGTGAAATATCAACCACAGTTTACTCTCTATGAAGAAGTCTAGTTCACCAACCGCTGGGACATACACAAGTTTAATCAGTCTTTTTTTTTCTAGCAATGTAATGTCAGCAGCATTCCTTTTTGAAAGTTTCAGTCACTTTGTCACGGCCAGGAAAAACACTTCACTTGTCTGACTTTTTTTAAAAAAAAAGAAGTCATCCAAACTTTTGGCATAATGGCTATCTATGACAGTTGAAGACAACAAGCTGTACTCAGACAGCAGTCAACAACACCATTGATGGAAAATGACATTTTTAAAACTTTAAATCCCCAACAAGAAGTGCAAAGAGACAGAGTAGGTAATTAAAGCAACACAGTGACCCAATGTGCACTACAGCCATACTAAATATGCAGCTAAAGTGGGCAGCACCACTTGGACAAAATAAACAGTGCCCCAAAGTCATCATACCCTTATGCCAATTGGCATTGTAGCAGCATTGCGAAATTGCCAGTTTTCGGGCCCTAACTGCATTTCTGCGCCAGTTTGAGAAGCTTAATGGCTGCCACAATGCTATATTGAGTAAATTTTACGTTATCCAGAGCAAGTTTCCCGAAACAGGATCTGTTCTTGAAAAACCACGCAGCTGAAGACCTTACTACTGCCACCATTGTTGAAAACAGGCAACGTCTATTCAGAGGGTTGCACTGGAGCTGTACATCGTCAAAACTCAAATTTATGCCCCACCTGGGCTTGCTTTTCAAATGAGACATTTGCAATATTAGGTTTGTTTGGTTGCATTACCCACCCCCCACCCCCGCCCTCCAAAAAAAGGAAAATAGTAAGAGCATGACCATTTATGTATGAGGAGCACAGTAAAGGCTTGCTTGACAATAAGAAGAGTTCAGCTGTGCATTGGCCAATAGCCTTCTACTTTTAGTGCAATATAATTCAAACCCTGAAAAGTGACCAACAGTTATGTGTGAGCTGTATTGTTTTGGGTAAGTGGTGTTACTGTATTATATATCCTTTAAATCAGGCGAACAGACGTTTTGAGTCCATTAATATAAAGATGTCCAAAATGGCGGTACATGTACAAATGCAGAATTGACTTGTGGCAAAGAAGCTTAAACAGTACAAAAAGTTTCCCACACTTCCCAAAAGTGAATATTCTTCCTTGCTGCATGTTACAGCCGTACCTTAATTATGTCCTTTGATCTTGTTTTGTTTTGTTTTTGTTCTTTTTAACTTGCAAAACTTTATGCTAACTGTGTAGCCTTGAGATACTATTTTTCATTTCTTTTCTTTTGTCCCATCTCAACAGGACAATGTCTCAAATGTTTTTTTGCATTTTTCACAATTCCAAGATTCCCAGGGGTCTTAACATCAAAGTAACCTATGAATCAAAGATTATGAACAGATTTTTACAACATTTTTCATGCCATGGAGAAATTGGCTCATTTTAGGGGCGGATCTGTCTAATGCAGTGCGACGGTCTGCATCCTGCAGTAATTTAAATTGGATCAACCTTAAAATACAGATTACTGACATTTATGGCAACAATGAACAACAAAGCAAGCAAGTTATTTGCTCCAAAGCAATATACGGAGTTTTTTTTAACCTACGGTATGTATTTAAGTTAGGGGACAATTCAAGGCACAATTAATTCTGTAAACTCTTATTTTTTGTTGTTGTTGAAAATGCAGGAAAAACAATTTTCACATGTGAAAGTCGACTAAATGTAATTTTTATCGCAGTTTGTTGCCTCGAAATTTTGAGTTCGCTCAGCTTTTTTTTTGCAGCTAATCATTTAACTTACTGAGAAGCTTAGTGCGGGGTTGGTGAATACATTGATTGGCCCCTCTTTTTACTAACAGTGGGGCGGAAGTGAAGAACAGCTGCCTGACAGACACATATTAAGAAATGTTTCCTTGGGTGTTTAATTTCACACTTGATGACTAGGCTTTGTTTTACTATTTTGTCATTTTATGTTAACTGTTCTGTTGATGGCGGCGCGGGACCCCGCAGCGGCTCCTCTCTTTCCAGTGGTTGAGAGGAAAGAAGTTTCATCTGAGCTGTATAGGGGTGTTCACACGGCACACATTTGCTCTGGCGCTACACCGATGTATTTTGTTGCGATATATTTTACACCGGAGCAAATTTTGTGGAGCGGTCACACGTACAAAGCCGCTGAGCGTGTTAGCACCGGCGCAGGATCGGTGCAGCTCCACTTGCGGTCACACAGCAGTTTCTGCAGCGGAGCAAAACGACAGAAAACAAATGAGCTGTCATGTTGGTTCTTTTTAAAACTTATACACAACTCAAGCAACTACTGTACAGGCACGTCCTTCTCCTTCTCGGTCTCCGTGCCTTCAGCTCGAGAGTGACCGCCTCCGAAAACCTAAATCAACGATGCCGTCAATGACACTCAGAAAAGCAAAGGAAATCCCAAAATAAATTCTATGGGGGGCCGGGGGGTTGTGAACACACAACCAAGGAACAAACGATACAAACAACTCCGAGACAGTCCAGTCTCCTACAAAAGGAAAGATGACGTTTGGGGACTATCCCCCCCACCCCGTTCTAGTTGAGATGGTATAACCCAAGAGGTGCTTGCTACTGTTACCAGCCATGTCTTCAGTCGTTATTAAACAAACACATGACAGAAGTCCAACAGAGCACGAAAGCAACGCATTCTCGCTGTACATAATCAACTCTTCTCATGCGTAACGAGGCTACCCCTACAACCCCCCCGCCCAAACGAGCATTTGCTACGGAGCAAATTGGAGAGTTCACACGTGCAAATTTACATCGGTGCTGCTCCGCAAATGAGCCTTTGCTCCAGAGCACATTTTTAAACCACCTCCCTGAGGTGGATCAAATTTGCTCCGGTGTAAGCGGTTTTCTGGGGCTACCCCGGAGCAAATTTGCACGTGTGACCGCTCCTCTGGCGCAGCGCCAGCGTAGCACCGGAGCAAATGTTCCCGTTTGAACACCCCTTATGTTGCACATAGAGCACTTTTGACAATAAAGTTGACTTGAACTTGATCTAAGCAGGCACTACAGAGACCCAACTGTATGTCCACAGGCATTAAAACGTCAATTTTCCATAGTATGTCTCCTTTAAGTCTGTCTCATAATTGTTAGAGTGAATGAAAAATGGCCCAGGGGTGTCATTCTCCTCAGGCCCACCATCATGCAGGTTGCCTTCATTTGCGTTGTCGAAGCTGTTCTTGCCGTGGATCTGTTTGAGGTGCTTGCGGAGAACAGGCTTGTGAGCGAACATCATGTCGCAGTAGTTACAGCGGTGAGGCTTGTCGCCGCTGTGCAGGTTGAGGTGATCCAGTAAAGAGCACTTCTGAGTGAAGGTCTTCCCACAGATCTTACACTGGAAGGGTTTGATGCCGGCGTGGACCCGCATGTGTCGATGCAGGTTGCCCTTCTGCGTGAAAGTCTTGCCACACAGGAGGCACATGAAGAGCTTGTGCATCTTGAGGTGGTTGGCGTATTTTTCCAACTGTCGGAAGACACGGCTGCACTTGGGACACTGGTGGTACCACTGCAGTGGTTTGTCGTAGTTCCTCTGGTGACCGCTGGGTTTTTCTGCAGGGTTGGACGGAGAAGAGGGGCTGAAGGCGTCGTCTGGCATGCTCGGGGGCGCCGTCATTTCGCTCCCACGACTGTCCACGGTGGAATTGATGAGGGAATGTTGGGGCTCAGGTGAGCGCAGGGCCGCTAGAGAGCTGCTGGGAAAGGTCGCCTCCATAGACTCCACCTTTACTATGCTTATGTCACTCTCTCCCACGTCATGCCTGGGATGTGTATCGGAGATCTGAGGAGGGGTTTTGGGCTGTATAATGACATCGTCATCATCATCATCGTCATCCTCAGTACTCATATCATCCTCTACGGGCTCCACCTTCTGTATAGTCTGCACCTGGCAGTTCTCATGTTCTCTCACATCTTCCTCCCTGCCGGCTCTTCTCATCTCACCATCTTCCAGCCTGTGAGGAGGCTGTGGCTTGATGAACTTGTTTAGTGCTTGAGTGCACTGCTCAACAATGTGGCCCATTTGGAGGAAGCTGGCCACTGTCAGGTAATTGACCAGCTCTAGTTCAGGAAACTCAAGTTGGCCCGTGTAGCAGGACAGCAGCAGCTGCTGGCCAACCTTTGCCTCCTGGATCATGGAGATCTGCACTTCATTGGAGTCCTGCTGAAGGATGAACTGGTCTCTTAGGAAAGACGAACCAGCAGCAAACACCACCTTATGACCGGAGACTTTGAGCTGGTTGATGCGGACTGTGACGTCACAGAAGCGTCGCTGGTGCCGAAGGAGGTTCATCTTCTGAAGCATGGAGTCGCCAAATGTGGCAAAGTGGAACTGCAGGATCACCTGGTTCTGGGCCATCGTGAGCTACAGGCGGCAAAGATGCACCTGTTGACAAGTATGAACAGCATTGTTGATTTTAGATGCAATGGAAATGTTATTGTGAGAACAAATACAATGTGAATCAAATTAGGTATTTAGTCATATTACAGAGATCCGCAAAGTATTCACAGTGCTTCACGCTATCTGCATTTTGTTATGTTGCAGCTTCATTCTAAAATGGAATACATGTATTTTTTTCCTCAAACTTCTACACACAACACCCCAAAATGTCAATGTGAGAAATGTGTTTCTGAAAACATTGCGAATTTATTTGCAGCCTTAACCAAGAATCTGTGGGAAAGTCAAAATGGTAATGTTAACAATGATGAAGTAAAAGATTTGGTGAAGCAAAATATTCCCCACACAAGGCCTCATGTAAGACTAAATTTCTAATATCTGCTTTAAGAATGATGTGTGGTAAATGCGTAATGTCTTGCACCAGCCAAAACACCTCAAGCATCAGGTGTTCGGAATTTGCCCATCAAATCTGAAAAAACAAACAAACAAACAAAAAAACAACATTAGTGTGTATTTTTCCATTGTTATTACCAAATTTAGCGAATCAACCACAGGTAAAATCTTTCTTGAATAAACATATTTTGGAGGTTTTCCAGTCAGGTTTAGAGATGATACATGGCACTGAGTCAGTTAGGAGTTTTGAATGATGTCCTCCAGCCAAATGACACTGGAGAGTATGTGTGTCTTATTTTTTTTGGATCTAACTGCAGCGTTTGATACAGTGGACCGCAGCATTCTGCTGGCTCGTTTGCAGCACAAGGTGGCCATTAGTGGTAGCGCTCTAGAGTAGTTTAGATCCTATTTGGCTGACGGGCTTTTCTGTGTTAACCTAAGTTGGTCTGATTCACACTCTGTCCCTGTCGTATGGTATTCCACATGGTTCTATTTTGGGGCTCCTGCTGTTTTCACTGTATTTGCTCCCCTTAGGTTCCACCCTAATAAAACATGGCATTTCCCTCCACTACTATGCAGATGACAGTCAGATCTATGTCCTGATCAAAGAGGGTGCGTTCTCCTTAAGACCACGTTTGACATGTCTAGTGGAAATCAAAGCGCGGATGTCACTGAATTTCAGAAATTTCAACAGTGTTTGGTCCCAGTGGTCCTGGTACATTTCACCTTGTTGACCTGGGCTCTGTAGTCCATCCATCCATCCATCCAGTTTGCAATCTGCTTATCCTCATAAGGGTCGCAGGGGGTGCTGCAGCCTATCCCAGCTGTCTTCGGGCAGTAGGCGGGGGGACCCCCTGAACCAGTGGGCAGCCAATCGCAGGGCACACAGAGACGAACAACCATCCGCACTCACACTCACACCTAGGGACAATTTGGAGTGTTCAATCAGCCTGCCATGCATGTTTTTGGAATGTGGGAGGAAACCGGAGTACCCAGAGAAAACCCACGCAGGCCCGGGGAGAACATGCAAACTCCAGGGCCGGAGCTGGAATTGCTGCACTGTGAGGTTGACGTGCTAACCATCGGATCACCGGGCTTCGTAGTATCTTATCTAAAGCCAACTGTCTCGAACTTGGGTTTTAAATTGAACAGTGATTTTAAATTGAACTGGCAAATCGATGCTGTTGTTAAATCCAGCTACTTTCATTTTAGGCAGCTGTATAAGGTAAAGCTCTTCCTTTCTCATTGCACTGAAATCATATTTCCTGCCTTTGTGACTTCTCGGCTAGATTTCAAGGCACCACAGAGCGCTTGAAGGCTGCTTCAAAATAATCTACGAGAGTCTCAAACACAAGTGGCCCCAACACACAAGCTATGAGTTCAACATTCTCCGATGCAAGTTTTAATAAAAGAATGCCTTAACATGATGACAGTCATATTCTTATTGGAACTCTTAACTTCAAGTATGTTTCCTGGAAAAGAAGATGAGTCCATTGAATTTACAAAACACATGCACGTCATGGCGCATGGTCAGGATGGTACCACCTCTGCCTTAATTTGAGCCAGGAAAAATCCTGTAATATCATTTCAAATCTAAATAAAGGTTATTATAATCATTATTAATAAGAAGATATGTACCATATACATATATACTTGTACCGACACAATTATACACAATAACAAAATAATACAAGACTGGTGATCATAATAATTTAAAACAGGCAGTGTTGTTACAACTCGTTATCAAGATTTTGCACTTTTCCTATACCTCACAAAAATGTTGATTTTAGATTTCTTTTTCAACCGGTGTATGTTTGGACATTGTTGTCGGTCAATATTCAGTCAGTTCTAAATTTTCACTCCCTATACAGATAAAAATCACCTTTGCATTGTTGTTCTCGAGTAATTTATCTTCTAAGTTCACAAGTTCCCCTCAAAACATAGTCAGCCTCACCCTCTGAAAGCATATTTTGGATCCTGCCCGGAGGTATGGTTTTTTTTCTCATTTTATACAGTAACTGTACTGTTGTAAATTCCACAAGATCAAACTATTTTAAAAATTGAGGTTGTAGAGGCAGTGCATTTGTATTGTGAAGGTGTCCAACGTTATGATTTGCTCTCCTCTTATAGATCTTTTTTGCAAACTTCTGAATAATAATTTAAATATGGTAGTACTACAGAGCAGTATAAAATGTGTAATGAATACTGGCTGAGAAAATGTTTTACTTTCACCGGGAAGTTAATGCTTTTTGAAAGTTTGGATCTGACATGTTTCATGTGCAGTTTGCAGATTTTATTGTCAACAATTACCCCAAGGAATATAAACTCCTCTACTCGTTCTATTTTCTACATCTTCTATTTGCAATTTTACGTGGTTTACAATTCTACAATTCATTTTGTTTTATTTACAGCCTATTGTTATCAGGCTGTTTTTAGGGTCTTTTGGGGGGTTAACTTCTAATTGAGCTAATCAGTTGACATTTCAGTCTGTAGGTATCTGCAATTCCACTTGAATAGCGACTGTATGTACTTTTGACATCGATACATTCTCATGTGTGACACTTGAGAAACATGAATAATGAAAATAAAGCACGTTGCAAGCAAACTACCATTGCGCTATGGTAATTATACAGGAAATTCAAAGTATTTTGAGGATGCTTTCGAAATAAAATTTGTGACAGCTTCTGAAACATACTGTATGAAACGACATTTTAAAAACTACAGTAGTATTGCAGCTTTTTATAGTACTGTGCCACAAATCATAATTGGTCATTACAGTCCAATGTTTCATTATCGTTATACCCACATAACATGTTCAACTGTGGACATGTTGCCCACGTGAAACGAAAAATTCGCTTGTTTAACAAAGTGCCTGCTCGCCATACAAGACACGAGGTAATGCTACGTGCTAACAATGAAGACCGCCTGTACTCTCCTGCCTCTTAAGCGTTCAGCCGAACCTACTTCCGCATTACGGCAGACCGTAATGCTAACGGCTATGTGGCTAGCTATTATTGCGTTGAACGCTTGAATGATACAGACACACTCACTGTGGTGTTTGAGGTTGTCGTCTCGTAAACAAAACAGTAGTAGGCAGCTTCTTCCTGGCCTGTCCTACCCGTTCCGGCTGTCGTTAGATCGCTTGTGACACCCAAAATATTTTCCTGTCAACGTTAAAAGAGCACACCGCCTCCCCCTGCATTGGAGTATCATTGTACACTACAGCAGATTCATTTTGCAAAGTACATGTACTGTATTGCAGTACTGTACTGCAAATTCATTCAGACAAGTACAAGTACTGCAGAAGGGTTGGTATTTCATTCACCTGGTGCAAATACAGGGCGAGATTATTGTGCTCACTTTTTACGTAAACAAAAAAAAAGCATTTTAAACACAATGTCAAAACATGTTACGTTATTATGTATTGAATATTTATCAATAATATGTTTCTTGTTTTTTCTGGATTTTAGACAGGAGTTACTCTACTTAAAATGTGCAATTGATTCTTGAAAAGGCATTAATGAATGGATTACAGTGTCATGCAAATAAGCACATATATTTTTATTGTCCTTCCCATATTCGATTTGTATTGTCAATATTGAAAGTAAATGAGTGCTTTAAAATATATCAGCGATAAGGCTGTTACTCAATGCTTAATTCAAATATACAGAGTGAAGAAATGAGAGATGTAGAATGCTGAGAGCATCTATGATAGACAGCAGATGTTGAAATCCATTCAAACTGTTTTGTGTATTAAATGTCTGAATGGAACAGCAGATGTTGAAATCCATCCAAACTGTTTTGTGTATTAAATGTCTGAATGCGAACTTGGATGAAAAGCAACAACAATACAATTAGTTACAAGTAAATAAAAACAATATCACTTTATTCACCATAGTGAATACTCAGCAATGTCCAAAATTGATTGAAGTATTTACAATGTGCACAAAATGACACAGTCATTTTTTCTTGAAAAACCTGGAAAATAATTAAAAGTTGATTAAGGCAAGATAAAGAAGTTCATAAAAAAATTAATTCCAGCAAAACAAACAGGGACAAAAAAAAAAACATGACTAAAACTATCACGTACTGTAGTTTATGTGATTGTAATTCAGTTAATATCAGAACCCGGAATCCCCCATCATTGTTCATAGCCTGGATTTAATTAAAAACTAAGTAAAGAAGCGAACCCCGCCCAACATATGTAATTCATCTAAACTGTGAACGCTCTTACGAGGTAAACATCTTTCATGCTCACCATCCTTACCAAGTGTAAGTGCATCCAAGCAAAACCGCTAAAGCGAGTAGTCCTACTGAGGCAGCAGCACACAGAGAGGACATCTTCACAATATAGGATGTACCTATAAAAAAACATAACAGGCTATACATGTATTTGCATTGCAACAAACTCTTACGAGCACCAAACCCCGCAGCTGTGTTAATAATTATTCAAAACAAAGGAACTTAAAACTGCTGATACTCTAGCTATGATGGATATTTACTGTATTTCCTTCTGTATTGAAGACACGTCTTTCAACGACAAAGGCAAACTCTGAGTGCGGGAGTGGAAAAAACATTTCCCATTACCGGTAATTTGAATAAATTTACATTGGAAGAAAAATCTCGCAAATCAGATGCTTTTTGCAATGACTAGGGGGAGAAATCATTTTAAAAATTGCTGTCAAATGAAATTTTGTATCAATAGTGCTCACTCATCATCCCAGAATTTTGCCAAAGTAGTAACTACCGCTACCTGTAACTTTAGCCCACAGGACACAGGAGCTTTTTGAATCCTACAACAAAGAAGAATGAAATAATTTTGAGACCCTGAGTACACATATTTCCATTTTTGTACTATAGTTGCACTCACCCTTTTCCACCGACTGACAGTACGCAAGATGATGTAGTAGTTTCTGCCTTTCTTGAGAGGGGCATTGAAAAAACCTCCATAATAGTGACCATCTCCCACAGTAAAATGAATCTCTCTTCCAACATGGCTACTGCGCATCTGAGCTGCAATGTGTTCCTGTGAGGAACCACTTTCATCCGAAGTCTCTTCATTCACAGGAGACGAACAGTCAAACACCAGAATTCCTTCTAGGGGAAGTATGAACACCTGGTAAAAACTGTCAAATGAAAAGATTGAAAACAACGGTTTTGTATTAGATATCAACAAATGATAGATGTACACTGCACAGATAGAATATGACCGCTTGCACGCGCTCTTGAGATGTAATTCAAAAACGGTATTAAACATTCTTCGCAAAGAATGAGGAATATTAATTCAACAATATGTTCATTATTGTGGGTGTAGTTTGCATTGGTGTGGAGCTGCTGTGGAGAGTCATTCAAAATTGCGTCATATATTTAGCAAATATTCCAGATCCTGTTGTCATGAGATTGTGCAAGTGTCATAAGATGCGGCTGGTCGAGGTAAGGATATGCTATTTGTGTTTTATTGGACATATTATTATTATTATTATTATTATTATTATTATTATTATTATTAGAAACATTTAACCCTTTAAGGGACAGCGGTTACTACAGTGGACAGCTTATTATGTCATCAGGTTACATTGTGCATGAAAGGGTTAAATTGCATTTACCACAAAACAACCATGTACAGTTCAGGTCTGTGTTTTTTTTTTTTTTTTTTTTTTTTTTACCTTATTGGGTCAAGAGTACTGGGTGATCTGCGAAACATCAGAGTTGGTGCAGGAGTCTCATATTCTCTGTAGTGGACATCTGGTACTGCAGGTGCTGTCAAGGTGCCATGTGTATAAATATTATATGATCTAATGTTTTCCATATCACTAGTTATTGGTACAGTGTTTCCAGTTCCAAAATAATTAGACCATTAATGCAGAAAAAAACACAAGAATTTGTTCGGGAATAGCACAATATGTTAAACACTAAATTTTGTTTGAATTGGACGAAGGATTAGAGTGGGGGGGGGGTCGAAACCCAAGAAATGTTAAGATAAAATACATTTTTCTGTTATTAAAAACAAAAAAACTAACTCCACTAAAAAAAATCGCCTCAAAACATCGCTATTTGAATTGAACAGTTCAACTGAAATTAAAGAGGGAGTTTGCAGTTGACAAAAACAAACATTTTGTCACACGAAAACCGTGTGTGACCTGACGGTGGACTATTATTAAACGGACCTTTGAAAGAAAAAAAAAATTCTGGCCTCATTTTATGTCTATAATTTAGTTTTAATCATTATTTTAAAACAGACGCCATGTGAGGAGAACTAGCCAATCAGAGATTGTGGAGACACAGGGGCATGACTGATCTATCTATCTATCTATCTATCTATCTATCTATCTATCTATCTATCTATCTATCTATCTATCTATCTATCTATCTATCTATCTATCTATCTATCTATCTATCTATCTAGCCCCTGAGAGGACAAGATGAAAGAATTCGGTGCTACAACCCTGTCAGCGATACCTGTCAAACTGGTGTTAATAGTGATGGTGGCTGTGAATCCAGCAGACAATGCAGTGATAAAGATGCTGTAGTTTGTGGCTGGAAGCAGGTCGAGACAGACCTCCACTAAGTCTGCCTTAGAACTCAGAAACTGCTTCCTTTTGTCCAAAAAGGCCCTCTCATAGTCTCTGGATCCTACGTAGATCACCTACAATTGAAAGGTAACAATTCATTTGTTTTGGCATAAGTATTATGGTTATAATTTTCTGAACAGATTGTTAATGGTAGGGGCGGAGGTGGGGTGGGGGGGGTTATGAATGCTCACATTTATCTGAGATAACCAGATGATCAGCAGTGTGTACACTCTTTTGCATTACCTTGTACATTTCTGTTTCCTCATCATCCTTCTCTGCACTCCAATGCAAACATTTTTCATTCCAAACAAACAGTTGATTGATGGGCGGCTTGATTTCTGTGAACAACCACAGTTTTACTTCCCCTTTGAAGGGTCGCTAAAACTTAAACGGGACCAGATGTACAATCCTTTGTTGAACTTTGAGAACCAAACACCACATAAATGGCTCACCGATGCATTGGAGCGTAGCTGTCTGCCACACGCCAGAGCTGCTGCACATGGAGACATTGCTGCCCCTCCAGCTGTGATAGCCATTCACACAGCGATGGATCACGACACTTCTGTTATGCAAGACCACCTCTGAGTGGGCAAGGATGGGGACCGGGCCACATTTTGCTGTGAAAACAATGACACTCATTAATCACATCTTGCAGCAAAAAAAAAATCTTAGCCACATCGTGAGTCAATTACTGTTCTCCTCTGTGCAAGATCAGAATAATGAAAACAGATGAAACAAAAAGAAAAGTGTGTTTCTAATGCTCGCAAACAGGAAGTGTTCTGCACACAATTTGTCAAATTGTCACTTGATTAAACAATATGAAACTGAATGCAACAACAAAATAATGTATTTTGTTCGATTTTGATGGTTTACTGCAGCTGCTGCTACAAAAAAAGCCACTGCAGGTGAAAATAATGTTGAACTAAAATATCCCCACCGACCAACCAAAGAAAATCACCAGAAAGAGAAACGTTTTCTAATACTTTCATTGAATCGTTCACATAGATGTGAGACGTGAAAAATGAGAACAGCCTTCACTATGATGCATTTACTGATTTACACTGTGGGAAAAGTCCAACCACATCAATACACATTGTCGAATCAAAAGCATGTCTTCAATAAAAACTTACTTGAAATGGATCTCAAAAGAATGCACTAGATGAATAGATACTGCATATATTTGTAAAAGGACACTCAACTTAATTGCTATACCTTTGCAACGTAATGATACGTTGGCCCACTCGCCTGATGTTAGACATGTGGAAATATTATCTCCACTCTCCTGGTAATGTCCATCCACGCACTCATACAGGGCAACACTGCCAGGACGAGTGGAGCGGTCCCACAAGAGGTTAGTATGGGGGAGGGTTTGTGGGGAGCCACATGTCATTTCTGCACACAGACAACAATGAATGAGACAAAAGCATATTTGGCAACTAGCTTCAACCCTCATGACTTGAGAAACCCCCAACTGACATGAATGTGCAACTGTTTTAATATTTAATTTGGACATTAATCGTTATAGTCACAAAACTCAACCCCAAGAAACAAATAAATACATTCAGTTCTGATCTTCAAACATTGCACCTTCACACCAAAGGTCAATTTCCTCCCACAGTCCATTCTGTCCACATGCCGAGAAGTTCCTCACACCCTTTGTGTCATATCCTTCATCACACATGTAAATAACCACGCTGCCAACATGTGACGTGCCATCCCACAGTCTTTTAGTGTGTGGTTTCAAAACGGGCTCCTGACATTTTATTTCTACAACAAAAAAGATGGCAACTCATTACATGTCAGGAGTTAAGCTAAAACTGACATAGCAATCACATCTTAATACTGAATCACGATTTTCAGCATGATCACCTTGGCAGCGCAGAGAGGGCTTGTCCCATTTTCCAGCGTCAGTACATACAGTTTTATTTATTTCTCCAACACTGTAATATCCAGATTGACACTGATAAGCAACCTGAGAGCCCACAGTGGAGATGCGGTCCCATAACAGGAGTGAATGAGAGATGTCAGGAGGAGAGCCACAGTCAACTTCTACAGAGATGAACAATGACATTTCTTGAATGTGACATCATTTGTGCCAGACCAATTAGTGTAAATCTCTGTCATTACCTTTGCATGAAATGTTTGGCTTTGTCCAGGTACCATTGGATGTGCACAGTGATACGGCAT